TTGTTCATAATGTCGTGTCCGTACGCGCCCATATTCTTGGCATCGCAGCACCCTTCTCGCCTCCTACCAGTGCGTGCGTTGGCGTCCATTAGCACCACGAGATGGTCACGGCTGTGAACCTCCCGGATCGCTGCGTCGAGAGCAGTCCAGAAGGAGTCCTTGGCGTTAACATCACCGCCCGCGGTGGTGCGGACAGTTTCCGTGGGGGCGTACCCCACCACGAAAGTTACTCCGCAGGTGCGGCCAATTTGTAGACGCACCTTCATCAGCCTCGGGCTAATGCACTCCACCGTCCTACCTTCCTCGCCCACACTCTCCCACATGGCCTCCTTGATCGCTATGCCCACACCGTGTACACCCCTCTTGTCCTTGGTGCCAGCACGGGCGCCACTCCAGATGATCACGTACCCGTCGTGTGCAGTTGAACCTTGCCCCACTCGTCGGGTCTGCTGAAGTCCTATCACATCACAGCCGGTCGCCGAACAATTCTGCATGACCATCATCACGTTGTGACCGATGGGCTTCCTACCGCTGTAGACGAGCGTGCGTACGTTGAACGTGCCGAGCGATAGGTCGCCCTCTCGTGCCTTCTTCTTCGCAGCTGCCTTGACGGCCGCTGCGGTCTCGTGTCTCTCTCGGTCCACCTCGCGTTGCGGGTGTGCTTTCTTCCGTCTTTTCCGAGCGGCGAGTTTCCTCGCATCAATCCATCTCTGCAGAGCTCGGTTCTTGCCTGTGGTGTTTTGACGAGGAGGGTGCAGCACTCCCTCCCCGCGGTGCCCGCGGTTGTCTCCCTTCTCCCGCGAGCGGTGCTTACTGACGTGGTGTTTACGAATCTCTCTACTCCTCCAGCTTCGTGGGCCACGCTTTCCGCGACGGTGGTTGCCAGGTGCAGTTTGCCGCTTTGCATTACTGCCGCGGGAACAGTGTCCATACACACCTCGCGCCACTACCACCGTCTGTGCATCCTCACCGCCACGCTGAGCCAGCGCGGCGGTGAGTTGCACTTTGGGACACCACCCGCCTACTATCTGTTGTGGCCTGGTTCACCCGCGAGGGACTCACTAGGTCGATTTCGGCCCCGGCCGGGGAGCAGGCCGAGGGGGGGGAAGGATGCCGAAGTGGTGTGTTGTCGTGTGTTGTGTGTTGTGTGTGTGAATAAAGAGAACAACAACAGAACCAGAACCATACCGGGAATATTCCCGTAAACATATTTATCGTCAAATAAATGGGTTAGGCATTTACTGCCGTCCATCCCAAAATCGATCAAATCTTAGGCGGCACTCCGTGTTTGCTGCTCCTCAAAGCTGCTATCTCTGCTACTCCTCTCCTTCTCTCAAATACACTTGCTTGTCTCTCGCCCAGCGAGAGCACAAAAACGTTCTGACACCAGGGCTGTCTCTATTTATCTTCGATCCCCGCTTTTTCCGAATTCAAACACGCCTCCACAAACCACAGATTCCAATACGTACTGAATCTTCTCATTTCTTAAACAATTTTTATTTTGTTCTCGCAAACGGACAGCTGGCCATGCTCTGCGAGATGATAGACGCGCGACGAAACCGTCAAATAGGCCGTCCGGTCATGTGATGATGCATAGGTGTCGCATTGCTTCATGCGTGTTGATTATATTTGGGCGAACATATTTTTGGAGCCAGCGTTTGGGGGCGGCCTATGGAGTTGTTGTTGTTGTGTTGTTGTTGTTGTTGTTGTTATTGTTGTTGTTGTTGTCTTCGCATTAAAAACCGTTCCGATCTCTCTTTACCCAGTACCTTCGTATGTCCGTACTGATACAACACTCGACGCGGTCGATTCCCCTGGTCGCAGGCTAACTTACCCTTGAAAGGTACACTCAAATAAAATGGCCCCGAGGGGTCCGCAAGTCAATAGAAATCAACGCCAGATATTCTGCAGTCCTCCACTCCTCCTGCGCGCTATGCGAGGTAACAACTGAGACTAGGGGTCACCATCACGGGCCAGAGAGAATGAGGTACACCCCCTTGGTTCGATCTTGGTACTTCACATCGCAAGCAGCAACAAGGTCATCTGGCACAGAAAAAGAGAGAAAAAGAGAAGAAGAGAAAAAGAGAAGAAGAGAAAAAGAGAAGAGAAAAAGAGAAGAAAATAAAAGGAAACAGTACGGAAAGATAAAATGAAATATAAAGAGCGAGGACAAAAAGGGACCAGGCCGAAAATAACAAGAAATAAGAGACAGAAAAAGGCACACGGTGGAGAGACCACTAACGACAAGCAAACACGCAAACATGGCCACCAACCAGCGATACATTGTAATGGTACGTCATCACTAGTGGGGGGTTGGTGCAATGGTGCCGCGTTGGGGGGGGTGTACTCATAGTCGTGCATGCCGTAGTCGTTAGACCATTGACCTCGCATCCCTACAAAGCCGGGACGGAGCACGCCGGGTTCTCACCGGACCAGGCTCTCACATCACCAAGCGCGAAGCGCCGTGAGATATTCGGCGAGTCGCATGAAGGGTGCGCTGC